TGGATTTGATATTGAACAAAGCTTCATAATTTTTAACAAAATCAATTAATTTTTCATCATTTTCGCTCGTCCAAGTATTAATTAAATATGCGCCATATGTCCAAGTATTAATTAAATATGCGCACCGCTACACGCGAAAAACGTTCAACACTACTGATTATCACCGTCATGCAAATGGCAGCACCGCTATTTGACGTCTCGGTGACACTCAACGTTCTCTAGAAAACCTACTCCGATTAGATGTTATTTATAGACACGTATGGGTGACGTCGCCCAACGTTACATTACGGCCGTTAGATAACGGCACCACTTTTCTAGGAAACCGCTGTGATGTGAAAATGTAATAATTCAATAAAACATTACGCTTTACTAATTACCAATTAGTAAAGCGTAATGTAAATGCTAATTACCAATTCGACTTAGGGTCCTTCAAGAAAAGAGCGTACCAATTCTTAAAAGGCCGGCAACGCACTCGCGAGCCCTCTGGCATTGAGAGTGTCCATGGGCGGCGGTATCACTTAACATCAGGTGAGCCTCCTGCCCATTTCCCCCGTTCTATACAAAAAAAATATATAGAAAATAAATAAATAGAAAACAGTTGGTACCTATGTGAAAACTAGTGGGGTACAAGAGCTTGTAAATGATTAGATTGTTAGACATTATATAATGGTTATAGAATGATTATTTTGTTACAACCCTTTTAGTTCTGAGCCTCAGATTTCCGTATCTGTTCGCTGTTACGTCTGTCCGCACAGACATCTTATCAGGCTCATCTATTTGCACATTGAGAAAGATACATAAATTGCGGGCTCTTGCCCTGAATTACTAGTAACCAGTACTAGGAACTGTACCACAATAATTAAATATAAAAATTTATTTTTAATGGAATTAAAAATTAATTGTGTATTTAATGCATTTTTATACGTGGATGATTTAGTGTACCTTTTGTTTATTTATAGGTTACCATTTTCCATGGTAACCATCTTCAAAACATCTTCACTAACATCAGAAGTTAATATGTAATAAGAATTGGCTGGAAACTAAATTCTTTGTAGTAAAACGAATTTCTAGTTAACGAATTTGTCATTCTTTTTGACGAATAGAACTGATTTTATAGGGATTTGTTCCGAAAAGCTTTTAAATTCAAAGCCCATGTCTTTGTTCGTACATTTTAACTTTTTATATACCTGTAATGCATTTTTTAATGTGAAAAATAAAACCATCAATTATTTTATCACTAAAATAATACTATTAAAATAGAATTTTATTTTAAATTGAATTTGTTCCTTTGATCATTTGCATGTATCACGTACAATAAACTGAATTATTATTTGAAGGAACTCCCGTTGTATATTTACAATAGGTTAAAGTTCATAAATTCACAAAAAGTTATATTTTTAGACTGGTCGATAGTACCCATTAACCATTGCCTACCATGCTATTTAATTGTAAATAATGTCTATATTAGCTTTTACTAACAATTTATAAAATAACAGAAAAACAGATGGAAAACACATATATAAAATATATGATCCCTTTAGGCAAGGTTCCGAAGGTACTGGTAGCGTTTCCCCTTTGAATAGCTAGACTTATTCTTTGTCCGAGGTAGCTGTCAGCTCTTCGGTCTCCTGTGATGTCGACTAACCTTTTTGCTATTTCCTTAAAAAGCCTTATAGCGCTAGTACCCCACGGACCAAGGGTCTAGACACCGAATGGGACAAAATCATATTCGGAGCCTAGAGGGGTATTTGCAGGCTTTAGCTTTGTCAGCGGCATCACAAGCCGCACCACCTGTGTTGTTGGTTCCATGTAGATGGGAAGGGGCCAGTGTGTAGTGTAGTGTGTGTGGGGTTTTTGCTTAGTTTTTAAGATACTTTAACGAACCAATGAGCTTTTCATTACTTCAAATTTCTATTACCGTACTGTTAAGACTAATTAAGCATTGAGATTTGCAAAAGCAAAAGTAAAATTGTGGGTGTGAGCAAAAAATACTTACAAATGTGGAGTCTGAAAGCGAAATAATTAAAGAAACCAACTCCGTGCACCAAGAGAGAAATTCTTGTAATCACTCTAAAAGACATCATTAAAACTTATTACATTTATACTACCTGTTTCCCGCGGTTTCACCCCCGTTAAGAACATTATAAATGTACTTAAGATAACAGACTAAGCTACAGAATTGGATAGTTTTTTTTAAATTTTATATATTGTCTCTGCATAAAGACACAATCTGATATTACTATCTAGCCTAACTTCAGACTAATTAGTAATTTAAAACTAACTTTATTTACTAAAAAGGACATTTAACATAAGAAAGTGTTCAATAACACTACTTAAAGTCTCTATTAAGGGGGGAAGAGACTCTTTCTTGTGTGCTTTTTCTTTCCACTTACCACAGTTTAGCACTTACTAACGTGCACTCACACTAATTCACTACATGGAATTGTTAAAACATAGATAAAATTAATTAAAACAAATATAAGACAGACTGGCCCTGGATTGCTTACGGTATATAAGTAAGTATTTTAGCTCTCAGAATCATTTGAAATTAGCACACGACTGTCAATCAGCAGTCACCAATTTAGGGAATGGTTTCGCTTTTTAATATTCATAACATTTTTTAAAAATTCCTTACAAATACTGTACTATAAACTACAGTATATATTTGGTGTCCTTGTGTGTGAAAGTGCTTTTGTGTCTTTATTTCAGCTTATAGGCAGCGGCACGTAAGTCTAGCGCTGGCCGATACGTGGAGGGGATTGCTGCGCATGTGTACTGTCGCGCGGGGGACGGAATGCGACTGGAGAGTCAATCGAAACTCTTCATTCCGCTAGCCCCCCTCAGGTACCTTATTTTTACTTCTGCGCAATAACGGTCAGCGCTAGAGTTTCGTGCCACTACTTGTACACGTCCAACTTGTGTCTTTACTTTTGAGAGAGAGATAAGCGAGGCCACGTCGACCGAGAGAACATTATAATTTCAAAATACTACTAATAATTACTAATACTAATAATTCTGGTGCCACTTTGCTAAAGGTTGGCTGTTAATAACTAGAATTTCCTGGTTTATGGCGCTAGTCATTAGATGTGATGACGTTCTTCTCCCGTATATTCCGCAACCACGACTTCTTCCTTCTACCTGTCTTTTGCCTTGATTTTGCCCATAACTATAAGCTACAACAAATCGTATCGATGATGACCTTAAACTTGTCCGATATACGTGACTTTCCGTATTTTAACAGTCATTATAAACTTAGTGAAAAAATTAACACACATTTCCTAATTTTAAGTGTGTAACTTGGTCATTGTTCTTTATAGCAACAGTGATCTGAATTCTGCCCCTGACACACATGTCTCGTACTTCGCCTATAATTTTGATTCATTTTACCAGTTTTCTCACCAGGCACTGGTAGTATAAAAAAATATGTTTATTATGAAAGTACCATACAGGTATTACTTATTCCACGTCATTATTTGAATCGGTAGACATCCCTACTCATCGGCAAAGAAGACAGAGGGTGTAGGCCGAGAGAAAAAGCCGGCGTAAAAAACTCGGTACTCTCTTAAAATAGCAAGTCATCAAACAACACTTATTTTAAAACAAATATCGCAAATTAATCAGTGATTTATTTTATTTACGTTTGAATAAAGCCTATAATACAAAGACATGTTAATAAGATTTATGACATTAATTAATCAGCAATTGTCCGTATCAGTGTCTTTTATGGCATAATGTCTCAGACATCCATTTAGGCAGTCCTTAAATCACATTCAAAATAGCCAATGCTGTTTAATTACATTATTAACACAAATAACACAGAACATAAATATCCGCCATCTTGTTTGCAATGTTTTAATAAGCCGAGATGTTCGAAATTTAAAATTTTGACATTTCAAACCTCTAAACGTCGAAGTATCAGTGAAAATAATATTTTAATTGTGAGCTGTGGCACTGAAAGCAGTATTGTCAAAGTAATCAATGAAACAGACATTGAAATGTGTCCAAACCGGTTCATGATACGCAGCGCTTCAAAATACTAGCACATTCTCTTATATTAGTTAAAAATAAACAACTTTTAATATTCTACGTCGAAACAATACTATAACGAAGTTTTGAAAATATAATTAACAAACAACGGCTGTCATACTGCCGTATATAACTGGGAATAGTCGTTATTCATTCATAAAGACGAGAGAGCTATCCCGTGTCACGATGTTATTTTACCGTAACGATTGCATAGGAACTATTTAGGTACCTGCCAATTTTCATACCTGCACGCTTTATTTGAAAATCGAACAAATACATCATGGTATTATGACATATATTTTACTGTTTTATCAATATTTTTTTCACATAATAACTAAATTATATTATACCAATTGAAAATCAGTTTATTTTTTAAATGTAGTCTTCTGGGCATACTTATTAATCTCCCTTCAAAGTTGTTAGACAATTAAACAATTTCTCACACACATAATTAGATATTTTGTGCCCAATATATTTAACAATATTGAATAAATTGCGACGGAGGATGAAGGACCACATTTAAGTCTGTAGTGAAAAATAACTGTTAATATTTAAATAACCTTAAATTAGACTCGTTTAACAACAATAAACAAAAACATAAATATTTAGTCAGTTCAATTTCACCTAAACACCACATCTGTCAAAAAATTATCACCAGACTTTTAGAAATGTTATCATTAATTATACAGGGTATTATACAGGATACGCTGTAATACCTAATACAGTAGCAGGTACAAATTATATAATCAAAAGAATAGAGGGTAGATGTAATAAAACTCGACCGACGTAAAATATAAACACAAAAATGACGCCGTTTAAAAGATTGTAACCGCCCTTCCTTCAATAATATGGGATTAAAACACACATACAGCGCTGTGTTAACATTACATATTAACCATACAACCGAAGTGTCAGTTAATGATAATGTTAACTGGAATTTATAATACAGGTTGAATCTGGAACGTATCCGAATTATGTCCCACGCGAGACAGTGCCTCTTTAAAAATGCACAACTTCACAACGAGTTGAAATCGACGTCGGAGTCGCTGGCGCACTCGGCTAACTTCAGTCCTATTCTACATTCAAACGCGTACAGTCCAGTCGTACATACAGTGCCGATAATTGAGCGATTTCAACGAAAAATTGAAAATCGAACTGGACTTATTTATACCGAGCCAAAGACATTCCAGCGTCACTATTTACGTGAGTTCTATTTTGGAGCGTTTATTACGGCGGATGCACGGGCGGCCCCGCGCGAGAGTCGAGCCACTCTGCTGTTATTATATTCTGGAGCACGCCCGCCTTACTTCACGTTTCGAGTGTTCCTTCTAGCACCTATGAGTTTATCTAGTCTACGTCACACTGCTCGCTCGGTGCAGCCGCTTGCATCGTTATAAACGACCAGTAGTGATAATATAATACGTCCCGCGAGACCTACCTCTTAATTACGACAGGTACTGTATATTACGCTTTTTAGTGAACATATTAAAATAGATTGGTGTGATATATTTAGTAGATATAATACTACATAGTTGAGTTATATAGTACGAGAGATAATTTTTACGTTACTGTTACCCATGACTTATCAGGCCACGTTGTCACCAAAAACTGTTCAATGCCCCATGGTAAATAGACATATAGTACAATTAATGGGGTATGGGACAGATATATTTTTAAGCTTACAGATACATATCACAATGAGCCTGGTAGACTAATATTGGGACGGCTGATGGTGACGTGTATCTCGTTGGTATATATTAAGTTTCTCATATAAATAAAATACATTCTTTTTTGTACTGAGAAATAAAGTTCTTTAAACATTAAGCTTACTTTGATGGCTATTTAACCAGCCTGAAAATATATTATATATATATATGTATAGCCGGGAATCGAACGCTAAACTCCCGTTATGCACCATGTTATCACATAGGTAGGAAAATACGCTCTCTTATCTAGACATTAAAAAAAGTTTAGCAATTTATACGAATTTTTACATTATTTAGGAGTAGGCTAGTCAAGATTGTCTTGTAAGCTACAAAAGAGTACAAAGACTAGCAATTTGTATATTATTTATGTATATGTACGCTATTGTATTGGCATGGAAGCTTTACCGACAAAGCTTCGTGATAAAAGCTCCAGCGAGTAAAAACCTGACTTATAGTAGGTATAAGATATTATACTTAAAAATGTTTAGTTAAAAAAAACATTTTTATATTTTCTAATTTATATTACGACAAGTTTGCCCCAATAATAGTGAAGCGAGATTAGTTTAGAAGGTCAAGGGTTCAGTTTTTATTTAAATTATTTCTACATAATGCCCAAAAACAATTCAAAACGTATTTATGGTGTCCTTGAATTAAATCTATTAATATTATAGAGGAAAGATTTGTATCATTATGTGTGTGTTACGTTAACTCAAACTAAAAGCAATTGAATACCAATATACAAATAAAAAGTTATTTAGCATTGAAATTAATCGTATAAATCCCACAATTTTTGTGGCTTTCCTGTCAACTAAAATAACAGACCGAAAATAGCGGTTGAGTGCAAATCGTTGCTCAGGTCAGGTATTTTAAACACAACTACTAAATTTGAGAAACAAATCGATTAGCCACATCTGTGGCTCAGTGGCTACGTACTTACGTATAACTTAGCAGGTTTGATTCGCGATGAAGCAATTGTTTCGGACAATAAACACACTACCTATTCACCATCAGACATAAACTTATTAACCATGTGATTTTGTACATAAAACATCATAGTTCGGCTGAGTTCCTTAGCTTGTTCATTAACGTTTTTGTTCCTGAAAATGTAAGAATTAAATTATGACATTAAAATACGTGAAATTAGTTCCCCCATTTCTATAAGATATCTCTCGACATCCTAGCATTGCTAAATGCACGGTAAATTGCGCCACAGAGTGGAACTATTATAAATAGATTTTATTGAACTACTAACCCGGTCGTTTCCTTACTATCAGCCCGTCGGTCATTGAAACATTAAAAACATAAAAATAATGAACCATGATGATCATACAAAATGATTCGGTCCGGATTATTTTTTATACTCAAAAAACTAAACGTCCTTCACTAAACATCCAGTTATTATTTTCTACTTACAATACTATACAATCAGAAACTTAAATAGGAAGAGATGTCTACCATCACTTTTGTAGGGTAAAATAACACAAGTGTAAAATAACACAAGTGTAAAATAATACAAGTGTAAAATAATGTTATTAAAACAAGCCTCAGTATGCTTGGGGTTGGCATATCGAAAGAAGTCCAATTCCGCAGTTATCTGCGGTCCTTCCAAATACCAGCTTCTTCTTTTAGACCAAATTCAGTGAAGGGCTTGTCGAATTGTCAATCCCCAACGTATTACTGATCGGCTTGATTCTCTCTCTACGCACAGACATTGCATTTCTCTGCGTTTTCTACAAAGTGTACTATAGTGAGTGTCCTGAGGAATTGTTGGGGATCCCTCCTGCGTCGTTTCAACACTGTACGAGCCGTATCAGTTCCAAATTTCATCAGCATCACCTTGATGGCTGGAAGTCTTCCACAGTCCTATTCACAAGACACTTCGTTTTGCGCACCAGCGAACTGTGCAATCGACTCCCGGTGTCTTCCCTGAGAGATACGACCTCCGACTGTTCATAGTAAGAGTGTACTCCTCCCTTAAAAGCCCGGCAACACACTCTATAAAATGGGTGGTATACGATTACTGGCCTTTTTGTGCGTCCCGTAAGCTCGTTTGTTTTCTATACAAAAAAAAAGAGAAGAAGATTCTAAGAAATTCAAAAAAGTTTGAACGCCTGACGTCTTTTAAAAAGTCTATTAATATTTAATACATTAAAATTGAATAATTTTATTTTAAATTAAATAATAACATGTCTGGCGGTCCAAATCAAACCCTATAGACATCTTAATGGTGGAGTTAATTATCGTTCCTGTTTCATGCAAAATATAGGTCATTGTGGCATTAACTATGTTAAGGCTATTATTGCACAGATGTTGTTCATTAGTCGTTGCAAACAATCTGTATTCGTTATGTTTAATTTAAAAGTAAATATTAAGTATGCACAATTGTAAGACAAATATTTTTAAACTAATAAAATATATAGAAATATCGGATTGAGTTGTAGTTCTTAAATTAACACCTATTATTTGTTTTAATTAATTTAATTGTGCCGTTTTTTTTATAGAACAAAGTGCTCGCGAGTTTTTTGCCTTTCAAGAAAGTGTTGGCCTAGTAAACAATCAAAACGCTAAAATCGGGCATTCGAACGGCAATGCACCAATAAATTTCTCATCTGTTGGAACCGGAAATTTGACGTCGTGTTTCATACACACTAATAAATTTAAAAATGCGATCCGTAATCCCTCTATTAATAGTTGCCGCGCTACAGAGTTATTATTTCTATAACTGTACTGATACGACATGAAATACCGAAATTAACTGATCAAGGCGTGCTCAATGTAAACTTATTTAGTCTAGTAACTCTTTGTCTTTTACGATCACAAAGAATTAAAACATAGGTGTTTGTTGTTTTTTACAAATAAAATCTAATTTTTAATGTGACGAGCACTGGTATGCAAACATGACATATACACGAAGAGATGAAGAGATAATACCAATATTAAACAAAACAGTTATTAAACAAAACTATGGATATCCAGACCTTCCTTGTTTATCAGAATGCTCAACATTGGTAAGCTTTGACCGAAACGCGTTCTTCCAAGGGAACCTATGAAAAATGTCAATTTCATTCGAGTCGGATATTCTTTTAGTTAATGTTACATGGTTGAAGCATGCCTTAAGGAATTCCGTTCTAAACTGAAACTATAAACTCCAATCTATTGACCTGACGGTATTGTTATCAACATAAGTTCCCATCTCTGCGGAGATTGTAAAATATAGGCAGGCTTTGCACTGTATAGGCTTGAAGAATGAGTCGTTAAAATGTTACTGAATAAGTTAACACGCATTACGCATCGAACATCGATGTTCCATTTGATTCTAATTGAGTGTGAATATGAACATCGAGATATCTAACGAGATATCGAGATAGCGAAATCACTCGTAAGTCGACAGACATTTTTGCTAAGAATTGGCGTTATGTATTGAGCATAAGTAATGATATTCTATTTTTATAATTAATATAGGAATCAAATTTATTGCATTTTTTGAAATAACCAACTGTTCACTGACTGTAATTAAAAACAGTTAAAAGTAATTTAAATTGTGATTAGCTTTAAGTTTTAGTTTATTTTAATGTTAGATTAAGGTAGTTGTATAATTTTTCAGTGATACTCTTTATTTCTTTTAGTTGATTTTTTTACGCACTTCTTGTATTTTACCCTTACTATTTCGATTTTTTTTTTCCCTTACTAAGGTTGCTTGGAAGAAATCGCTTATCAGCGATTAGACCGCCCGTTGTATCCCTAATAATTTATGTTATTTGTTTTTATTTTTATTTAACATAGTTGAAATAAATGAATAAAAATTAACATATTATTGTTTTTAGCTACTGTATCCCGGGCTAGCCTCCTCAATCTTTTCGGCAGTCTTCTCTTAACCTGTCTACAGTTTATATTCCGAGTACCGCTTAACTTAATAAGATTGTTCCAGTTAATACAAGTACATTCAAATGAAACAAAATTGATTCCCACATGTTTTTACTATCGAAGAAATAAATTTAAAAAAAAAATACTTTTTGTATTAATTTTCGACACTTTTAATATTTTAAGGACAATTAAATTAATTAAATTCCTAACATATCTTCCTTTTTCCCTCCAAAAAAGAGAAAGAAATCTAAAGTTTTAGATTCGTATAAATATGAACAAGACTTAAAAATTAGTTTGCCAAAGAAGTTTCACTTCTGACCTGTGTACTTTGTACGCACGCACTTTTTTTTAATAAGATATAAACGTTATTTTAGAATGAAAATCGAAGATACAAGGACCGAAGGTGTTCGGGGTTGGGAATGCACTCCCACCAGTGAGCAACCACCGATTCAGGAGGATTCCAAAAGCTGTCTTCCAGTTGTGCTTAAAGGGTGGAGACGGAAATCGCTGTATGCGATCATAATATTCCTAATGATACTTATATTTTTGAATATCGCCTTTACTTTGTGGATTATAAGTACTTTAAGCCTGACAAAGGTAACTAAGAATTTTTTATAAATGTATTTACACCTTTCATTGTGACTTCATTTTTTTCATTATGGTTTCAATTTCTATTTATTTATTATAATGCAAATATGTATGTAATTCTCGTGAACCTATTAACTCTGTACGTAAAACGACAGAGTATTAACCACTAAACATGGGATCCCCTTGCTACCAATGCCCTTAGAAATGGCACCGCTATATATTATCAGAAATTTAAGTAAAAAAGTGGCGCTACGAAGCTTGGTCTTCCTTTATTTCTTAATAAGCAAGTGATCAGCCTCCTGTGTCTGACACTTCGGGGACTTCTGAGTTAAGCAGGGTTTCGTCACGAAGTTTTCCTTCGTCGTACGAGCGAGTCTTTAATGTGGAAATCAGAAGTCCATTGGTGTCACTGGCCCAGACTCCTATTTATCTAGCATAATAATAATAATCAAGGCGACAACTGCTGAAATGGGTCTCTATTTAATATCTGACAATATTATCTTATCTGTATCGCAATACAGCGAGGAAATACTGCCAGCGTTAAAGGTACACCGCCATAGGGACCAAACTTTTTAAATTTGTTTTATTAATTTTTAATTATTTTAATTATTACTATGTAGGTTGAGACAATTTTAAATACTTTTGTGATTGTTATGAATAATAATAAACGTAATTAAGATATCTTACAACACTTATTTATTTTTCAGAACGGCCTTGGTCCAATAACAATAGTTAAAGATGGCATTACTTTAGATGGTAAAGTATGGGTTGTCGAAGATCTTATAGCGTCGACAATTTCGTCCCAAACAGCGAAGCCTATTACATTACATTCGCATCGGAATTTCACAGTTCTTGTCTCTGATGACCACCAGGAGCAATCGAAATTGATTTTAAGTAAGAATTGTTATACCACAGACTTTATACTACTGTGACGTGTTTCCTGCCTCACAGGTCCAGTGGTTCTGGAAGCTTGTTGGTAACAAACGGAAACACTAATTTCAGAACAGTTACGTCAGCGTCCGTCACAGACCTGATATAACGTGAACATGAGTACCTGTCCCGTTGAATGTCAGCTAAATGACTATAATATGTAAATAACTTTTATCATTTTTAACCTTTTAATGTGGTAACCGTACTAATTCTTAAAAGGCCGGCAACGCAATCGCGAGACCTCTGGCATTCAGAGTGTCCATGGACGGCGGTGTCGCTTAACATCAGGTGAGCGTCCTGCCCCCTGTTCTATACAAAAATCGCCTTTTGACTTACTCAACGCATCATATTTGCTGTAAATTATCGAGACGTCCGGAGATCCATAATTTTTAATTAAAAATTATATTTTAATTCCTGTAATCTTTTTATTTCCAACATATGTTGCAATGTATCACTTTAACATTAGCTGAACCCGTTTGCCATTGTTTTATTAAAAAAAATGTAGTAACTAATATTTTTTATAATTCCTTATTGTTTTGTATATAAATGATTAATTTCTTAAAAGAATAGCATCTTTGCCTTAGCTGACTTGACACATATAGTCGTCTGTTCCAGTTCCAGTGGAAACCCAAGACCAAAACACGATTTTATTATTGAGTTTTGCAGAGTACAAGCACTGACCCGAAATTTGGCTCGTATTAATTTGGTTATAGTATGCCCTCCGGAGGCTCAGCTGAATTCGTCGTCCATCATTAAATAGCGATTTCAGTCATTTTATTTCTGAGGCACAAAAACAGTGATTCATAAATACTTGCTAATTATAAATGTGATAATAAATGTTAATATGTACTGTATTTTATTCCACTTGCCTATTAACAAAACTGTAATACTCGCGACTACAAAAATTCACTGAACGGATATTAAAGTTGACTTAGTTACAAAACCATAAATTTTTTCTTCTTACAATATATATATTTTATTATTACAGAACGCGACTCCGTGGAATGTACCGGAAATGCTTTTGAAGTGAAAGACGCTCATGGTGACCGTATATTCTACGCTTCAAAGGACGAGGTACGCGTATTCGCAGACGCCCTAGCGGTCGACGGGGCGGGCGGCGTAGGCGTGCGTAGCGCCCTCCAAGCGCCCATCGTACGTGCACCGCCAGGGTCAAATTTACAGTGAGTTACCCCTATTCGGAATCGGTTTAATAGGAAGCTATATTGTGTGTATGGAATATTGTTAGAATTGAATAATACATAAAGCTTTCAAAAGCATAAGTAAAATTTCGTAAAGTCTTCTTCTCTGTCTTTAAAAGTCATATGGATAATCTTAATTCAGATTTAAGTACCGTGCATGTTTCATCCAAATCGGTTTTCTAGTTTTTGAGATATGTGATGGTGTCCACGCATTTCTAGAGGGGCCATAAATACCGAGGTAAATAAAATGAAACTGCAGGTTCAAATATCTGGCGGTAGTACGACAGTAGTGAATGTTTTTTTGTTGCAGATTGGAATCCTTAACACGAAAATTAGATCTACGAGCACCACACTCCATTTATTTAGAGAGTAGGGCGGGCAGTATTGATATAACTTCACATAATAATATTAAACTGGATTCAGTTGTCGGTGCAGTAAGTACAAACTAAAATTCATGAAACGTTCGCTACGTTTAATTACTTGAAGATCTTAGCGATTGTATAATATATGAAAGGAAATATTACTAATTTAAAAATGTTGTAGTTGAGGTAAGATCCAGAGTCGAGACAGCGTTAAGTGACTGGCGTATCTAAAAAATGTATCGGATTTGACGTCTTAATATAAAAATGACATCGCATTACTATTAATTTTGTATTCCACATTTTTTTCGCACCAAAGCGTTTCACATATAAAACAGTTTTCTCGCATAGAAACTGGTTCAAATTCATTAAAAGCAAATCATAGATTCAATACCACAAAAGTATAAGTAATACGAAGGAACGAAGGAACTTTATTCCATAAACAAATATGCAAGACTATATTTATAGTACAACCTTTTTTCTATAAAAATAACGAAATTAACCTTTAATCGTTGGGACGCAAAAATAACTTGTAAACACCATAACGAGGTTGTCATAATAAGTGACAGACTGCGGACGGCTCATTGTTTATTCATTGGTTATTTTTTGTAGTCGACTGTCGAACCCGGATAGGCAAATGTTAAAAATCTTGTAAATTTTTTGGTGTTTTTTCGTTTGTTACACAAAATGTTCTCTAGGTGGGTTTATTTTTGAATAATTTAGCGACTTCAAGCGTAAATCTGGTCTTGAGGCCTCGTTGGGTATAAAAAATGGAGAAGACATATCGTCTTATATACAAAAACAAAAAATATTTATTTATTAACAATTATTCTTATTTTTAACTTTTAAATTTATTTTATTTACTATACACCCTTACACACGATTTTCATTACTCACACCGCTTACTTTAATATTATTATTTTCTACTTAGTATTATTATTTTTTTATATTTTTCTTTGCTACTGAGGTAAAACGCAAACTAGCTGCTGTGGTCTCTGGCAGAATGACCAGCGCTGTGGAACTTTCTGCTCCTCAGCATAATGCTGAGCCAGGGCCAATTACAACCACAGTACACACACATTGCACCCTTGAAGCGAACCGAATGGCAAAAGGGAATTTTTAATTTTAATTGTTATTGATATGTCTTATTTTATTTTTTCTTCGAGTATTGTTATTTTGTGTGTTTATGTGTGTGTGTTTTCGTATGTAATAAATGTTATGTCTATGTCTATGTCTAGAAGAAAGAAGTAGTCCTGTCTCTCTTTTCTCCATCTTTCCTATTTTATTTGCGTAGGTTTTAGGCGAGTTCTAACCTCTTGTGCTTTGCAACTTAAGATAAATGTGGTTTCTTAACTCTCTTGATTATTTCCTAAACAAGGACTTAATTAAATAACCTATTATATACTCTTAGTGTCCGTGTGTTTCTTATTTAACTAATTTGTGCTTCTTTTAGATAAAACTAGATGCCCCGAACATAATTATCGAGAATCTCAAGGAAGCAACCGCAACGAAAGAGCAGAAAACTTCAAGAAATAAGAAAGTGTACCAGCTTTGCGCCTGCGCTTCTGGAAAATTGTTTTTAGCAGCTCCAGACGCACCGTGCTCTATGCACGAAATGGATACAGAGTTGTGTCGATGATGGATATTTACTGGGCACATAAGAATTTATAACAAAAAGGACCAAATTCATATAGAAATACACTATCACATTAACTAACTGTCACTAGTTATTCGTCAACTGTCTATGTTGTCATGTGTCAAATTCTATAGTTCATTAATCTGTGCAACTGCAATAACGTGATAATTGTCATATCGTCTTATATATTTTATTCTAATTATTCAATTAGAAAAACTTAACATAAAACGAAATGTTACTTAAGTTTACTATGAAGCGTTTTGATAATATTTTTAATGGAATTTAGCTTTTATAAGTAGTATTTATAAGAATCATCGACTCATCACTAGACATGGTACACGATTTAAAAATCGTTATTTAAATCTACTTTTTTATCTAAGGAGTACACAATTGTTACATTTTTCTCATCATAGCTGATCTTACAATTCTTACGCGCCAATGCCAAGTGTACGCTAATATTTATTTATTGGTCCGCTAACAGTAGTTACTTATATCATAAATGATTACAAAAATGAAGAATAAATATAAATTAGAAAAACAAAATATTGTACAAGGATTTTAAAAAATTTATGCAATGTATCGCGACGGGTAAATTTTGAACGACAAAACTGCGATGGAAAGAGGCCAAGACGAACAAGAAAAAATTTAATAAGAACTATTTAAAAAGTAAAAAAAGGCAAACTTTATTATTTGCCTCTTAGACTACAATGGCTTTTCTTACATGTTTTGTCTTTACAAGAGACCAGACAAGAACAAACATATTTACCAAAATTTATAATAGTTCATGTGATCCACAATTTTGCGTATTTTTTCACTTACACGTCGTCTATAGATTTACTATTGGAAAGACAAATGTGTTATTTACTTCATTGAAATATCAATGCATTGTCTCCGAGATTGCGATCAGTGGGGTAATCAATCTTGCTGAAGCAAACGTCAGCGAGTCGACCGCGTCCGTGGCTTTACCCTAGTAATTACACCGGGCTAATTGAAGCCACAATGTTTTTCAAAATATTTTTAAAACGGAAAAACATTTTCCTTAATTAAATTTACTATATGTGGAGTTTTTACCTTAGATACAAAATATACAAGTTTTTTAAATTCAATTGCCCAAAGTCTATATTAATGTGGAACAAAGTTTCTTCATTCATTATACTCCGAGGAATCATAGTTTTAAAGCAAATATTTAAAATATATGACGGTTAATTCTATGCATATAATATGTTTTTAGATACATTGTATCTGAATGAATTACGTAGACTGTAGGCCAGGAAGACGTTCCAACATTAAAGAACCATTATAGTTCCCATTCTTAGGTAAAAATATTTGTTTTTAATAAGGTTGGAAATACAATAAAGCGTCATTATATATGTGTGTAAGCGCAGGAAAAATACACAGCATGTCCTGGAAGTTATGCCTACTTTCAAAGATTATAGAAACAGATGCAGAGAGGTCTCTCCCATTACGGGCTTAGTGATATAATTAATTCATCAATAAATAAAGCAATGCTAGTAATTTACGATCGTAAATTATTTTTAAAGCATCTATATTGGCTGCACTATATTTCAAAAATTAAAGACACTATATAGTAACAATGGCAACATACATTTAGAAAAATGTATTTTATGTTAATTAGGATAACAAAATACTGTTTTAAAACGGGAGTTTAATACACTATTTACATTGATCGAACTTTATATTTTAACAAAATTATTTAAATTTTGCTATTAATGACATCTATTGTGAAATATATAGAAACTTGAAATATTACAATTCTTGTTCCAATCAAAAATAAACATCATGTAAGTTACAAATATGTATTTATTTATTAATTAAAGTTCACCACATCATACATACTTCTATATCTACAGTATATGTTACAGGCTATCTTTTCTAAAATATATGACAATTACGGTAAATATAAATGTTATAGAAAATTTAAATACAATTAAAATCGTCATACAAAAAACTACTAGAAAAACAGCGGATTAGGTATCAGATAGGCACTTAACAATGCTTTTAATTGATCATCCCACTACCGAATAGTTGTGTGTGGCGAATAACAAATATTATTGTTTTTTTTTTTATATTTATAAATATTGTAAATTTAGTTAATTAAATATTGCAACATTGGTATTTGCAATATTTTTATATAAATTTTTCATAAGAATGATTGTATCGTCATAATTGTGTGGGTTATGAAGATAGATAATATCTATATGTATATCACCTCAGTCTTATACATAAAATTTAAAAGAAATAAGCATTTATTGAGACGCACACAAAATAACCATGTGTATTCGTATATCAGCCACAACTTGATTAGCCATCAAAGGATTATATTGTTTGTAAGAAACACAATAAAAGAAAAAACTGTGTAAAACTTTTATTTGATCCCAACACAAAGCCGTGAACATTTATTTCTGTACACATTTTAGTAACGACTCTATAAACAAAGAAAATCAAGGGAATATTTGAATACAGAATGTTTTTGTCAAATATTTGGTTTTTGTGTACCCCTTTGTTCTTTTTATATGTTTAGAATTATGATAATGTTTTACGTTATTTTATCACGATAAAATGCTCTGTCCTATTTAAGTTTTTTAATAGGAATGCACTTACTGAAGACTCGGACATGCCATCTACTAGTCAAATCAAAATTTAATTGATTCATTTATTACTAAATGAAAGAAGAAACGTCGGAAAATTTTATTATAAAAAAATTAATTTACATTTACTGCCAGTTCCCAAATCAAGGGCATAGACGAAAAGAACTGTCTCTCTTTTAAATCGACAAGTTTTGTTTCACAAAATGTTTTTAAGAAGCTTTTTTTCAGCTGAAATCAATAATAATTTTAGCGTATATGTATAAAAATAAACAATCTCTATACATCCATGCACATATTATATAAATGATAATTTATATAATTCCTAAGTATTTTCTTTTCGCAACCAGCTACCATAGACAATGGTTACACAAGGCATATTTTTTTTTTTTTTTTTTATGGCTCTGGCACGGTTTGTGCATTAGCCAGCGTCAAGTATAAGATTTTTATAATTCGTGCTTTTTTGCCTTAGAAATTCGACCGTGTCCTCCATGTACGGTTTAGGCACTCGCCCGGTACCGCACAACCCTCCAAAAGGCCGAGAATAAATTTAAATTAAAATAAAACTTGCCCTCGAACCGGGAATCGAACCCGGTACCCCTCACCTAGCTGCCACTTAATAAGACCGAAGGCATACATTAGATTTGTAAAGATGTTTTTTCTATACATCCTTGTACAGACATATGTTATTTCACAGAAACCTAAAAACAGAATACAGTAGGCAACTTTAAAAATAATATACTCTATGAAATAGTTTTTGTATAAAAAAGAAAAGCTATCAAAATTGGGACACCAGTATGCATACTAAAATAACGCTTGTACAAATATGGTTTATAAATATTCAGTATTTAAGTATGTAAAACCTTACAAAAAAACTTTTGGGCATTTTACAATTTATTACTGTTTTAATAAATGAGATTGCAGTCGATTAATTATAAAAAATCCGCACAATTAGCCATATAAAAATAGGCATGCAAATTCATATTAATTTTTATAAAGTCATATAATAAGAATTTTTTTCCGGTTCCGGCGGTCAAACTGTTAACATGTACGTCAATGTCGTCCGCGGATTTTAATCGTAAAATAGTGTTTTAAAGTGACATTTTCGTGCTGTAAAACGTAAAAACATTAAAACGAAGTTCATTAAACACAACTAATAAAAGAACACAGTGAGAGTGCTTAAATATCGTGCGATAATTGTTGAAAAACCCCTTCAGAGTTATAACCTCAAATTAATAACGGGTATAGACAATAGACTTGTCTCAGCTTAGCTTAATACCAATACCAACATTACGCCATTGACATTGACAATAGTAGTGTTGCCACTCAAAAGAAATAAAAGCTGACAACCAGTGCTACCACACAAGAAACGAAATTTCCCTAGTCATGGACAAGAACATGGAACTACTTCTAAACAAACTCGATGAGAAATTTAAAAATCAAACCGAACTTATTGCATACTCCGTAACTAAGAGCGTCATGGAGGCTTTAGACGAGAAAATGAAAACTATCACTGAGGAAAATACTAAACTCAAGAACAAAATTTCAGAACTGGAATTTAATCTCCAAAGAGCAGAGATAGAAAAGACAAAAAAAACAACCTCGTCTTTTTTGTAATCAATGAAAATATTAAATTAGAAACGGAGTTAGTGGATTATATCAAAGAAATAATTGTGAATATGGGAGTTTATATGGATAGCCAAGAAATTAGCAAAGTATATAGAATTGGGCAGAAAACTGATAATAAAAACCGTCCAGTGATAGTCACCATCACAACTCAATGGAAAAAACATCTTATACTCAAAAATAAGCCTGACCTTCCACAAGGCGTCAACATAAAAGAGGACTACCCCAAAGAAATCCTAGACAAACGCAAACAACTGCAACCGCAAGTAGAAGAAGAAATAAAGAAAGGAAATATCGAAAGGAATATATAAAATACGACAAGCTCATTGTAAAGAAGCCGAAAGAAAATAGAGAGAAGAGGAAAAGAGAAACTTCCGACTCACCAAAGGCACCATTAGAAAAGAAAACTAACAAGAAAGCAATATTGAACAATCCATCATCCAGACTACCCAAAACACATACCAGAGATATCTTAAGACCCAACATACTAAACTAGGTAGAAAGAGCAAGCTCTGATCCACAAATAAATCTCGCAAAAAACTGAATATGCCCCAGGACCACCGGAACCATCATACACCAACAATGAATTGTTTACACAAACAATCAAAAAAATATCTTCCACCACGGCTGGTCCCCGCGGAAGACTTAGGCCATCACCCTCTAACAAGAACAAAAAACAAAAGGAATGAGAACAAATTATACAGAGTACAGTAAAAATTCTTAGAGGAGGCCTTTGCCAAGAGGCACACTGAACTCAGAGATATTTTATAA